GTCCGGCTCGGCGGCGGGACCTCCACGGCCTCGCGTGGTGTTGTCCAGGGCGACGGGCCGAGCCCCGAGCGGCCCCGGCATTTCCTAGCCAGCTGGGCCTCAGTTTGCGCCCCCTGAAATGGGGCAGATGTTCGCGCCCGCCAGGGAGGGTTTGGAAGGAGGGTGCCCGGGCAGAAGCCCTTAGCGCCTCTGGAGTCCGCAAGTGCCCGGCGACTTATAAAGTCGGTCTCTTCGAACCAAGGCAGGCCACACACCTAAAAGGAGAGAAAAGGAGAATTTTAGGCTTGATTTGAATACGCCGAGACGTGAACTCGGGCGCCACCCCTCACCAGCAAAACTGGGCTATTCTTTCATTCCAGTGCTCTCACCCTGCTGGAGGTGAGTCTAGCTGGGGATTCAGGCCGCCTGCCTCTCTCACAAGAGTTCCAAGCCAGGTAAAATACGGATTCTCCGCCCCCGCCTGCAGTGGGGCCCAGGCGGCTCCCCAATGGCTCTGAGGCACACTCAAGACTCACTGCCAATATATTATATACATATATGCACATACACACACACATATATTTTCGTGAAAGAGTAAAATGGCCTTTCTCCTTAGAAAGGAGAGAGACTCACTGCCACAATAAAATAATTGTACAAAAACGGGGTTACTAGAGATTGACCGGAGCAGCAAAGTACCGCTTCCTCCGTGGGGCTTGAACATAGTTGGATCATTGGAAGGGATGTGTCAGGGAACGCTTCCAGGTGGAAGGAGTCAAGGATAACCCCCAAGTTCCAGGCTTGAGCAACTGAGGAGGTGTAAGAGGTGGACAGATTTGAATGGAAGACCAGGAGGTCCTCTCACCTGAAGACTCCAGCAGTTTCCCAGCTAGCCCCTCCCCACCCCAACCCTCCTTCTCTACACCCAGTGGGATCATACACTTCTCCATCCGGGTCCTCCAGGGGTTTCCCTTCAGACTTAAAATCAATTCCAAACCCCTCCAGGCCCTGCATAGCCTGCCTCCTGCCTCTCTCCCACCCTCACCACACTAGACATACCAAACTGGTCCCAGGCATAGCCATTCCCAGGATGTCACTACAGCTATTCTGGTGTAATTGAGAGGTCTCAGCCTCACATTTCATTCGGTGTTCACTCCACTCAAAATCACCTTTTGTAAGAGCCGACACACTGGTCTATGGGACAATAGATCTAGCTTGGGGAGCCCTTTTGTTTCAGGAAGAGGAAGTGGTACTTGGCAAAGAGAAGAAGGAAGCCCAGGCTTCTGTTAAGAATGAGGGGACTTTGCCCAGACAGGCAGGACCCAAGCTCTGTGGAGGGCAAACCTACCATGGTCCAGACACACCAGGGCCTCTGTCCTCTCTTGACCTGTGGCCTTAAGAGACATACCCTCAGCCACAGGTCTTGGTGATACTGTCCTCTGGTAGGTAGCCCAGGGAAATGGCTTTTTAAGGTGACCAGGGATCCAAGTCCAGTCTTAATGGAATCATGGGCAGATTTTAGCCCCTATGTTCACAAGGAAAATGGAAGAAGGGAAAAGTAATTAGATGCAGATATACTTGAATTGATGGAGACTGGAGCCTGGCTTAGGGAGAGCAGAGAGAGAAGCAGAAGAAGAGAGGGGAGGAAGGAGGAGAGCCCTCCTGGGTCTCCTCACCACCACTGTGGCCACTATAAGGCTGCTCATCCTGTCTCTAAAAGTCACTGTCTTTCCCTAGGGTGAGCTGAAGGTCATGAAAAAGTGCCAGCTGCATTATTCAGAACAGCCATAAGGTAGAAGCAAACCAAGTGCCCATCATTGGTTTGATGGATAAACAAAACATGGTCTATTCATACTATGGAATATTATTCAGACTTGGGAGTTCTGACACATGCTTCAACATGAATGAACCTTGAGAACATTATGATCATTGATATAAGCCAGTCATAAAAACACAATACTGTATGATTCTATTAACATGTAGTAGATAGTCATCAAATTCATAAAGATAGAAAGTAGAAAGGTGGGGGCTGGGGGAGGGGAAATGGTATTTAGTGTTTAGTGGGGACAAAGTTTCAGTTTTGCAAGATGAATAGAGTTCTACAGAGAATGGTGGTGATGGTTGCACAACAGTAGGAATGTATTTAATACCACTGCACTTAAAAATGATTAAGATGGTAAGTTTTATGTATATTTTACCACAATTTTTAAAAAATGCCCACTGCAAAGAAAAAACAAATTCAACTGCCTCCCTTTTTCATTTATATGTTCAAGGCACCAACCCCTGGACAAACGTCTCCCCTCAGGAGGCAATGTCCTGTGTTTTCCTAGAAGAGGAAAGACTCGTAGCTGAAGAATACTTCTTGGCCTGGAAAGGTCCCAGGAATGATGTGATTCCCTGCCCCCCCCCCCCATTTCATGGATCCTCTTACAAGGCAGGTTACTTTTTGAAGCTAAAAAGTAGGCATGTTAAGGAGAGAAACTCCCAGACAGTCCTGCAGATACTAGGTGTTATCTGAAAGCTGTTCTATAACTGTCTTAGTGCTCAGGCCTCAGGAACAAGGCTTTCCCCCAGGAGATGCACACCTGTACAGACCTGGTCTGGAAGAAGGGCAGCTGCCGCTTGGAGGCCTTTGGCTGCAGCTTTAGAGGTAGTAACTTTCCCTAGATTTCTGAGGCATCAAAACCTTCAGATCCAGAGAAGCAACTAATGGCCAGGTGGCACCTGCAGGGTTTTACACATTCCTTAAAGTCCTTTTCATCCTCTGCAGGACTTCGACGCCAATTCAGCATGGGTTGGAGCTCAGAAACCTAGTATTTGTCTGATTCGCTTAACTATAGTGTAACTTCGGTTCTCGAACTTAATTCGTTCCAGAAGGCTGTTCAAGCGGTTTGTTCAAAAACTGAATCATTTTTCCCCTATTAGAAATAATGTAAATTGAATTAATCCATTCTAGACCCCCAAATGATTTCCTGTTTTAACCTTTCTTACAGTACATGTCTAATGTACTGTTTGTTTTTTTGCTCATCAGAAGATTGCTTGTATTTTCTAACATGTGCAAAACAAAAGCACCTTTAGTATCAACAGCATCCTTTCCCCTTCAGACTAGCAAGGAGCATTCTGTAAAACTGAAAATCAACGAGAAGAGACATATCGCTGGAATTACTGAAATTCAATCAGGACTATGTTTGGCCTCATCCCTACTTTTTTCTTTGGGTCTAAAAAACTTGGATATTCTAATTTAAGTATCCAAATATAGATTATTTCTTTTGGCTAATATACTGTTTAATTTGTAAACAAGCACTTCTTAAATTTATTGAACCACCCTCTACTAGCTTTAAACGAGTCACTTCCAGCACTGGTTCCAGAGGTGTCTTTTAGGAAGTCAGCATGCAGCATCTTTGTTTTACATGTCACTGCCACAGAACTGCTGTCACCAGCTAACTACTTTTCGTTTATCCAAATGAACAAGTTTTTCTACCGCTTCAATTGCCTGTGATCATTGTTTCTTTCACACCCTTAACAACATTAGCACTCTTTTTATTTATTTATTAATCCTCACCTGAGGATATTTTTTCCATTGATTTTTTTAGAGAGAGTGGAAGGGAGAAGAGACACAGAGAGAAACATTGATGTGAGAGAGACACATCCATTGGTCAAGGGAGGCAACTGAGATACATGTCCTTGACCAGAATTGAACCCTTGACCCTTCAATCCGAGGGCCACTGCTCTAACCACTGAGACAAACGGGCTAGGGCAACATTAGTACTCTTGATGACCTCTTTATGTTTTAAAATTGTGCTAATCATCCATTTTGCCAGCAACAAAAGCCAAACAAAACAAAAAAAACCCACAAAAATATTCACAGCGCAATTTCCTGAGATGTTAACAACTTGAGATTTAGCAGTAAACTGACTAGAATTCTCTCCTTTGTGGCCTGAGAGATGCTTTTTGACATGCTGATGAATCAGCATGAGAGGG